TCATGACCAGAGGAGGAACTCCAGGACAGAGCAGCATCGCGCTGGACAACCGCCCAGTCTTCCTCTGGCTGCTCTCTTGGCCTCGGGTCTCCGCTGCGGTCACCAGCACGGGCAGGGGGATCAGTTCCTGACCTGAGCTGGGCTACCTGGACCCTCTGTCCGGGCTCCTGGGAGCTCCGCTCCACTGCCTGGGCCAGCGGCAGAGGAGAGGACAAGGTCATGTAAGAGGCTGTTGCCACCCGGCAGCAGAGAGCCCAGGGCTCGGTGTGCAGCTCCAGAGGAGCAAAGCCACAGGCCCAGACCAAGGAGGTACCAGAGGGGTTTGCTGGCTGCCAGGATCAGGCTCTGCCCCACCTACGAGTACCCCAATCTCAGCTCGTTGTCCACAGCTGGAATCTCCCTGCCCAGCCATCACGGTCCCATGGGCCTCCAGGAGACAGATGCGATTCTCCACCTACATCCTCGTCTACATCCTTCCCAAACCCCATGCAGGGGTCACAGCACTCCACACAGCTGAGGAAGAGGTGACATGGCACCATCCTCAGCCAGTCCTGCTCTGACAGACCCATGGCCTGGCTCCATCCATCCTTCCGACCCCACAGCAGCTGCTCAGGGAGGTTCCCAGGGTCAAGGAGGTCTGCCAAGTCCCCACTGCTCCCAGCACTCACCCAGGGGGAAGGTGATCTGGTCACACATGCCCAGGAGCTGCCCGAAGTACACTTTCTTCTCCGAGGGATGGATCCCAAGCTCCATCATCCTGCAAGCCAAGCCTCGGCATTAGGGAAGAGCAGAGACAGCTGAGCATGCAGGGGCAGCGCATCCCACCAGGGGAACGGGGATCATCTCCAAGTACGAGAGCACAGCACTGACCACGTCCCAGGTGGATGCTAGGATGTGAGAACTTGAGGGATTTGGGTTTAAAATAGCCTCTGCGTTGGGCAATGGGGCCATCTCTGCAGCCACTGTGGGCTACCATGCTGCATCCCAGCTCCAAGCCCCAGCTGAAGCCCCGAGCACCAGATGGGAGCTACAATCCCACTGGCCAGACACAGAGGAGACCTGACAAGCCACAGCACATCTCACCACAGCTCTGCTGGGCCCCCACATCCCTCAAGCTCCCAATCCCTGCCACGCCACACTGCTTCCCCAGCACCCACCTGCGCAGGGTGAACTTCACCGTGTCCTCGTTGTGAGATGCCACCATCACATTGGCTTTCCAGCTGTGCTTGATCTCCTCCAGGATATAGTCCAGGCACCTGTCAGACAGTACGGGACCGCATGGTGAGGCTGCTCAAGCCCGTGCCCGATGGGGTGGGAGGGAA